GGCTCCCCTCAGTCCCCCAGCTCTCCTCAGCCAGCCTTCCCGCCTCCCGTCAGCCTTCCCTCGGTCCTGCTGCACCCCATCTCCCCTCAGCCTCCCCGTGGCCCCAGGGCCGGCCCTCCCCACGGACCCCCAGCACCCCTCAGGCAGCCTGTCTGCCTCCCCGCTGCGCCCCGCCAGCCAGTCTCTGACTCCCCACGCTGTTCCCACTCCAGCTCCACACCCCCGGGTGGGAGCAGGGTCCCCCCCTCCGCTGTAGTCCCCAGGGGGATCCTTCCCCCTCACCTCAGCCACCAGCGTCTCCTCGCGGTGCCGCTTCTCCCCTTCGTCTCCCCTGACCCACGCCGTCCCACAAGCGGGGCCTTCCCGATCACATCACGATCTCCTCGCGGTGCTGTTTCTCGCCTTCCTCCCTGACCCACACCGTCCCACAAGTAGGGCCTTCCCAAGCACATCCCGCCGGCCGGCGGTGCCCCATCCCACCACACCTGATGGTCCCACGCCTGCCCGAATAGGTGTGGTGGAATTCTTGCTAGTTCCCAAGGCCACCAAGGCTACCCTTCAGACCTACGTGTCACAGTGTCACCGCGCTCTGGAGGGGAAGGACTTCCCCAGCCCCTTTGGGCATTCCCCGGGATCTGAGACTGTCCTGTGGCCAAAAAGACTTGTGTGGGCATCCGCTGGTGAGCAGGGATGGCCCTGGGACCGGGCTTGCCTGCAAATTTGTATTTGAAAAAGAATAAATAAAGCATAGCTATGGTGATACAAGAATTTCTTGCGTGGGAGATGATTTCATCAGCTTGCCCCTTTCTTAGATCTGAGGGTTGCCAGCTCCAGGCCCCTCATAACGAAAGGGAAGACAGGCCCAGCCCCGGTTCCTGACCTTAGCACAGGCTGAGGAAAAAGCCATCCCTTTGATTGGAAAAAAAAAAAAAAAAAAAAAAAAAAGGCAATTGTTTTGCTTCCCCTCTTCCTTTTTAATGAAACACTTTCCAGTGTTTTAAGCAAAACATGACTTTTCATTTTGAAATTTCTTTTCGAACCATTAAAATGTTTTAAAGTGGTTGAAGGCGAAGTGAGATGTTTTGATTTTTGTCGCTATGAAATGTTTCACTCAACACATTCTTTGTGTTTCTTGATTTGCAAAATTTTTTCAAAGGTTTCTGTTTTCTCGCCCTAGACATATCTGCATATTTTTTTACTTTTTTGAAAAGGAAAAGAAAGGGGGGGGGGGAGAGAAAAATATCCTTTATCTCCACAGCTCCACAGGAAGCAGAACTTCATCCAAGAAACAAGGAGCCAAGGGACTGCTCTCCAAAGGTCCAAACTTTCAGACACTTAGTCATCCCTTCACTCACTTGCTCACACACCAAGTCTAGACAGATGCTGTCTCAAACTCTGGCAGGGACTCTCCCATCCCCAGAGGTCAGTCCAGGGTCTTTTGGGTTTGATTTTGAGCGGCTCCGAAGAGAGGCAGCGCAGCAGAGCTGAACATGCACAGGGAAAAGGGAGCCGTGGCTGCCGGGGGGGACAGACAGGGACATTGGGGACCACGGGACGTGGTGGCCTGCTGACTCCACAGACTCTTGTATTGCACATCTTCCCCGGTTCCCAAGTCACGACACAATGCCTCGGCACATCAGGTAGATGCGAGAGAGAGGGAACCAGAAGACCCTTCGGGGAGCCAGCACGGGTAGGGTACGAGGCACACGTTGGGGGCAAGGCGAGTTGTCTGTGGGGTCAGCGAGCCCCAGGCAGCCCCACAGCATCTCACAGGGAGAGGGGCAGAGCGAGCCGAGATGTTCCGAGAGAGGTGTCCCAGCATGGGGCCTTGGAGGAGCCACCGGGCCAATGCAGAAATGGCCAGTACTCTGCCTCTGCCGTCTGCTGGAGTCTGTAAAATCCTCCCTGTCAGAGATAAGTAATCCTGGGGCCTTTACAACACCTCTCCTGAAAAGTACATTTCATTCCTCTGTCTCCTCCTGCCTTCCAAGTGCATGAGATTGCAATAGGTATTACCGAAAATATTCCCCATGGGAGCTGACACTGGACTCCCTTAAAACCCAAACACTATCACCCCTCCTTCCCCAAGACACAAGCGAGCGCTATGCTCTATTATCTCTACACCCACTAAATCTTTCTGAAATAAAGAATAAACATTTCCACCACACATAGTGTAAGTGTATGTGCCAAGCTGCATCGCTTCCTCTCCTCTGTGGTTGTTATAAAGTGGTTTTGTTTCAATGGTGAAGCAGATGGACAGATTCCAAGTCTGGCGTCCCCACTCCCTCCAAGTACGTCTAACACTATCTTTGGTTTATCACAGATTCCTGAAGAAAATGTTTACGGGAGCCTCTTGTTTAAAATCTTGGCTCCATTGCAGCATAATTCCTATTATTTATTACATTAAAATCAAGCTGTTGTTAATGCACCATTACTGTGGCAAAGTGGAGCCCTTGAAAACAAAGCCAAACACACTCTAGTTCTCTGAGCCTGAGAGAGGCATCTTCCCATCATTGTCGCTCATCGCTCACGTCGCAAAGGGATGAAAAGCGGTCTCGTGGCCTGTGACTCCTTAAACATTTTCGTTTTGGTGAGGAGAGCCACAGACTCTTTTGCTTCGCTGTCCAAAACCTGACACCCCAGAGTCAGACAGTGTCCAGATTGTACATAACACTGTCGGAGGGGCTTTACCCGAGACAACTCTGTGGCAATGCTCTTCTCCATTCACCATGACCCCAATAATTTTCCCCCCTCTTCTGCAATTTTCCTCTAAGGTATTCCATGGAAAAAACAAAGTCCTTCCTATTCCCCAGCCAGCCGCAGCCCCCATAACACAGTGAGCTCCATATGGATAGTCTCTCTTGGATTGAAGTGCGGCAGAGTTTAAATTCCTAACCAGTTTTCAGAGGAGATTCTTAAATTTTCCCGGAAATGTGTTGCTGCTTTGAACTGATTGTTTATTTGTCAATTTAGTCATTAACCTTCTTCCTTACTCCTTTGGCTTTTGATAAGACAGAAAATGTCAAAGGGAAGGGAAATAGGCTCAGAATGATTTCCCCTGGCGAAGGATCCCAGTCCCCAGAAGTGAAGGGAGTTTTCTCATCAATTTTAGCAGAGACACGGCTTCACTCACGGTGCCAGGTTAAATCAGCGTTCAAGTTTTTTGCAGGGTTTGCGTGTTAGACTTTAGCAAAGTACCTGGGTGTTCTGGAATAATCTCAATCTGTAGATCTCAAAGCCCGTTCAAAAGGAGCTAAATACTGCTGATCCCAGTTAAGGTGGGAGATGGGAAGAGCTGGCCAGTCAGTGGTAGAGCCAGAGATGGATTCCCACTCACCCCATTCCCAGCCTCATGTTCAATCCCCTGCGTCTCACCAACTTTGCCACACTCATGGTCTATCTGTTAAGAAATGCATGTCTTAATGCATTGCTTATTAATATTTCCTATTCATGAAATTATTACAAACAACCTGAAAGTGGGTAAAATAGTACAACCACAGGAGAGGAGATCAAGTTCTGTTCACGCAAAAATTTGTTGCGTCTGAACTTGTTATTTGTTGCTTATTCAAATGCAAGTAACAAAATTCTTACCATCAGAAGTTTACCAAAAAGGAAAATGGCTTTTCCCAATAGCTGACATAAACATGTAAGTGCTACCAAACATATTTACATGTTTGAAATAGATGGTATAATTACAATGAGTTATAGTCAATATTCAGTCTTTCCCCTGTTTAAATGCTACCTTCTGATACAGCACAACACATCCTTTAATTGTGATCACGTGCTCTTTCTTAGAGACTGCTGCAATTTTTTTTCCACAAAAATGTCTGTAATTGAAAAGAAAATGGCATTGTTTAAAATAAATTCTCTGCCCTCCTGGAAATAAACAGGTGACTTCCCTCACAGAATGTCCTATTTCTGGGACTTCTACATCGCAGCAAGCCATCTGCAAAATCATTTTGGACATTTTTCTAGACCCCAAACTTGAATTTCAGCAAGGAAATGCAGTTTTTGAAGACTGAAAAAATTCAACAAGGATTTTGAAAACAAGTCAGGTAAAAGCTATCAGAGGAAATATCAACAAAAGCAGTCATAGAGTCCTCCAATAAAAGCAGATCCATTCCGGACTCAACAAAAGAGGTCTTTTTCCCCTCTTTCAGCCAATACTGATGTTCCTCAAAGGATACAAAATAGCTGTTAAATTCACTCTTATCTAGTGTGTCTC